GCAGGTAAATATAGGCTTTACCTCTTATCTCAGGCCTACCAGCCCTAGTTTAAGATCTACTGGATTGGAAAGGTGGTTAAGGGCGTTAACTACTCTTCCAGAGGAACTAGATTCAGTTCCAAGAACCTGCAAGTCTCTTTCCAAGTTCCAAGGCGTCTGGTGCCCTCTTCTGGCCCTCCTTGGCACTGCATGCACTTCGTGCACAGACAGACGCACAGGCAAATCAGATACATATATAGCAAAATAAAGTTCAATAAAAGAGATTTAAATCTAATGGATGAACACTGTTACTTCTCTTTCAAACCTCACACACAAAAATGTACCTCTCTTGCTAGTCTTCCAATGTGTTTTTATATTGGAGATTTCAATTCTCTTCTTTGACACTTTGTAAACTTCTGCCATTCTTTTTCTAAACTTAAGTTTAGAAAAACATAATGAACAGGGTTCTAGTGACCATTTCAGAATTATATAGTGATATAGTAAGATATCAATAATCTAAAGAAATTTGTATCTATATAAATGTATCTTATATCCTTATAATACCCCAGGGCATTGGGGAATCTCTGTGCCCAGTAGGTTTATGTCCCATATCTATTTCTTTTATAAAACCAATTTGGGGTTTGTCTGTAAAATTTTGGGTGTTACATGTTTCTTTTAAGATTGAGATAATTGAAAATGCAAAACGTCTGTGAACTTTTGGCAGCTCCTCACAGGTAGACCAAGATTTGTTCTTGGTTAGTTCTATCTACATTGCTAAGATGCCTCTGGATTCTTGAAAGTATCCATCAATCAGAGCTCCCATAGTCAGGGTTTAGATGAAAATGTCCTGTGTTTTTTCTTAATCAACACACTATTCTGTCAACACACTAATCACTGGTTAGTAGATGTCTGTTGTAGTATATTGCATAGAAACGTTTTTGACTAAATTAACAGGATAGTTGCGTTTTTATGTCAATGAACTTTCAGCAGAGATTTCAGCTATAGAAAACATTAGAAGATGAAGGGTGAGGAAATATCAAACCTTTAAAATTGATGTAATTATTATTTCTCAGAGAGATGTGAGAGAAACAAATACTTAAAAATTATTTAAAAGCTCATTTTTTAAGTTGTGAGAATACATTATATTATCATTATTTCCCTGAACTCAAATCCTGTACTTTCTGAACAAATGAGTAAAATACACATTTAAGAAATATTTATTTTTTATGTGTATGTGTGTACCCAAGTGTATGTTTGTGCACCATGTGCCCAGGGAGTCCAGAAAAAGGCATGATATCTCTTGGAACTAGAGGCCTGGATGTTTGTAAGCAGCCATGTGGGTGCTGGGAACCAAATCCCAGTCATTAGGAAGATCAAACAGTACTCTTCTGAGCTGTCTCCCCAGTCCATGTTAATCACGTTGAAAAATCTGTTATTTACAAGGGGGATATGAGCTGTGGTATTCTGTTAAGAGGATTAATAAATGGCATGAACACAAACCTGCCTGAGTACTTGCCCAGTAAAGATGATGAAATATTGAAAATACTTTGGAGGACCTGTTATCAAATGAACTCAGGGGTCAATAATCTGGGAGGAGAAAAAGATAGTAAAAGAGAACAAAGAAAAGGAAATTTGGGGTGATACTTTAAAGAGATGCACAACAAATGTACACATCAGTAGGAGGACCAATAACTGTGAAACTGGATGAATTGAGACTGATTCAAAGCTTTTGTTGTTATTATTATTTTTTAATTATACTTTATTTACTTTGTATCCCCCCTCTAGTTCCCTCCTCCTCCCCTCCCAATCCCTGCCTTCCTCTCCTTTCTCCACACACTACGCTCCCCAAGTCCACTGATAGGGGAGGGTTTCTTTTTCTTTTTCCTGATCCTAGTCTGTTAGGTCTCATCAGGCGTGGCTGCATTGTCTTCCTCTGTGGCCTGGTAAGGCTGCTCCCCATCAGGGGGAGGTGATCAAAGAGCAGGCCAATAAGTTTATGTCAGAAGCAGTCCCTGTTCCCATTACTATGGAACCCACTTGGACAATGAACTGCCATGGACTACATCTGTGCAGGGGTTCTAGGTTATCTCCATGCATGGTACTTGGTTGGAGTATGAGTCTCAGGAAAGACCCCTGTGCTCAAATTTTTTGATTCTGTTGCTCTCCTTGTGGACCTCCTGTCCTCTCCAGATCTAACTATTATTTTGTTATTATTAAGAGAGCAGTTTTGTTCCATTGTTGAATCTAGTACATCATTATTTACTTCAAATCATGAAGAATTCTGGTCCTTCTTTAGAAGGCTGATGCAGGAGAAATTGAGGCTCAGGGATTTGGGGCTAGTGGGTAACATAGCGAGATCCTATCTTAAAAAGAAAGAAAGATAGGAAAAAGGGAATGAAAATTATACAAATGACCTCAAAGATATGAGAAATAAGTACATTTACATCTGTGAAGAAATGATACAAAATCCATGCAAGTGTTCCCTGCCTGCTTATCAGCATCACAGGACTGGATAATGACTTGGGAATAATACATGGTTCTCTGCATGAAAAAGTATACTTAACCACTGAAACATCTCTGCAGCCAGATTTTGTTATTTCGTTCTTTCACACCTTCATAAATATATTTACTGAGCCTGGGGGTTTTCCTGCTTGCCTCTTTTATCCCTTCTTTCTACATTTTCCCTTCTTTTATATGTACCCCCTCCTACTAGACACACTTCCCAATACTAGGCACAGTATCTCTGCTTTGTTGACTGGCTTATTTGTTTTAGAGCAATGACCTCAAGGTTCATCCACATGGTAGCATAAGATCCCACATATTTTACTCATATTTGGAAAATCCTGATTTATTCTTGACTTCTGAAGGACAGTTTTGTGACCATAGCTTTTAGTTGACAGGTTTTATTACCCTTTCTCTCAACACTTTTAATGCATCACTCAACCTCTTTTCAACCTGCATGTTTTGTTGAGAAATGTGCACACTGGGCAACTTAAACAACAGCAATTCATTTTGACCATCACTGGAGGCTGAAGTCATCACCAGAGCCAGGTTCAGGTGATGCCTCTCTTTCTGGATGTGCAGGTGAATTTCCTCTGACAGCATCCTTGCATGACAGAAAAAGAGGATCAAGCACTCTGCTTTTTTCTTATCATAATGGTACTCATCACAGTGTGAAGCTTGAACTCTCAAGAATCAATAACCTCTCAGTGGCCTTAACACTACATGTGACTAGGGTTTCAACACAGGGATTTGGGAAGATACAAACACATTACATAATGTTGTCACATTTTAATATTAGAGCAAAAAGAATTTACTTCTTGATGTGGATGTGGGCTGAAAAAGAAAAAAAAATGAATCAAATAAAAAGAAAGGAAAAAAATGAATCAACAGATTTTTGTTAGGATGAAAATCACTTTATATACTTAGAACCTTTTCACCTGTGGTAGTTAGAGTGAGAATAGCCCCCATGGGCTCATATATTTGAATGTTTTGTCACAAGGTGTTAAAATTCTTTAGAAAGGATAAGGAGGTATGGCCTTGTTGGAGGAGGTGTGTCATTGGAATTGGGCTCTGAGGTTTCAGAAAGCTCATGCCATTCCCTGGTTGTTCTTTCTAGGCCTCATAATTGTCTCGACATATGAGGTGTCAGCTACTACTCCAGCACCATACCTGCTTGCCTGAGGCCATACTCCCCACCATGATGGTCATGGACTAACCCTCTAAAACTGTAAATAACCCCAATTAAGTGCTCTTCCTTATAAGTTGCTGTGGTCATGGTGTCTCCTCATGGTAATAGAAAAGTAGACAAGACCAATTCTTAAGATCAAATGCCAGTCATTCGTATTGTAGATGGAATCTCCATTAACTTCTCAGATTTTACCTTTTATCTGGGTTTCCAAAAACACTTCCTTTAAAAACATACTGCCCATCTCTAAAGTTGGCTTCTGTTGAAACAAAGATTAGGCTAAAGTGATGACGTACTAAGATTCTCCACTGAGATCAGTTTATTACCTAATAGTGCTAACCTTATTTTTGTAATGATAACCAAGTAAGAAAGTTATACCTTATCTGTACAACAATAACATTAAAAGAGATAAGGCAGTGCTAGCTGCTACAAGGGAAAGAAATACTGATATGCTCTCTTCAGTGAAAACAAACAAACATCTGGTATTCTTTTTTTTTAATCTTTTATATTTTTTATTAATTACACTTTATTCATTTTGTATCCCCCCATGAGCCCCTCCCTCCTCCCCTGCCAAACTCACCCTCCCTCCCCTTTCTGCATGCATGCCACTCCCCAAGTCCACTGATAGGGGAGGTCCTCCTCTCCTTCTTTCTGATCTTAGTCTATCAGTTCTCATCAAAAGTGGCTGCATTGTCCTCTACTGTGGCCTGGTAAGGCTGCTCCCCCCCTCAGGGGGAAGTGATCAATGAGCAGGCCAATCAGATTATGTCAGAGGCAGTCCCTCTTCCCATTACTATGGAACTCACTTGGACACTGAACTGCCATGGGCTACACCTGTGCAGGGGTTCCAGGTCATCTCCACAAATAGTCCTTGGTTGGAGTATGAGTCTCTGGGAAGTTCCCTGTGTTCAAATTATCTTGTTCTGTTGCTCTGCTTGTGGAGTTCCCGTTCCCTCCAGCTCTTACTATTTCCCACTTCTTACATAAAATTCCATTCACTCTGCCCATCAGTTGGCCATCAGGCTCAGCATCTGCTTTGACAGTCTATACTGCAGAAGCTTTCAGAGGCCCTCTGTGGCAGGTTTCAAGGTTGTTTCCTGTTTTCTTCTGGCTTTCAGAGGCCCTCTGTAGCGGGTTCCGAGGTTGTTTCCTATTTTCGTTTTCTTCTGATGTACATCCTCTTTGCCTTTCAGGATGGGGATTGAACATTTTAGTTAGGGTCCTCTCTTAAACATCTGGTATTCTTAAGAAAAGTAGAAAAGCAATTGAGTTCTATGAATAGTATTTAACTCTTTGGTTAACCTTTCTGCCATCTCTTTCTCTTTCTTTTTAGGTATTTTTGGCATCCCTGTCATTCAGCTACATATGCAAGGCACTAGGTGGAATTGCTATGAAAAGTTCCATTACTCAAATAGAAAGAAGATTTGACATATCATCTTCCCTTGCTGGTTTGATTGATGGAAGCTTTGAAATTGGTAATATTTGTTTCTATTTTACTAGCCAGACTTATAGAGGAAAAATAGAGTTAAGACATGCACTGGACCATGCTTCTAAACCAGCGGTAACTCTGTGTTTTCTGTAAAATATAGCAGTATCTGAAGTCATTTTTGTTGTCATAATTTGAGGAGCAGTGCTGCCAGTGCTTGGGAGTCAAGGTCAGTGATTTCACTAAGCATGGTACAAAGTGATTGGCAGCCACTTTGAAAAGAGAATTTTGAAAAATTGATTTTACACAGACACATTGCCTTTCAACTAACTCTTGTGCGACTCCACCTACCCTCTGACAAGACAGCCACATGTGAAGAAAAGTTGAGAGAGCTATATAGTGCCTTTGATTTAAAGAGCAGAGAACAGCATTGGGATGCTCTGTGTTGGATTTCTGCTCTTTATCTCTCTGGGGCTTTGCTTTATAGCACTGGAGATGTTTCTCTGTTGTCCTCAGTTTGATTTTAATATCTTCTTTTCTGACACCCAAGCTCCATGCAGTTACCCACAGGGATTCTTTTCTCACCTTATGAAGCAGAAGCTTATTGAATCTGCTTCTTTTTCTTTTCCTTATTTACTTATTTGGAGATCTTCACAACTATGTTTATCATGTGGATTTCTACCATTTCCCACAAATATGATCTTCATTTTCTTTAAAACTAGACTTAAGGTATATCTGACTCAGTATTTTGTAAGTAATTACAAGAAGGAATGCCCATTTGTCTTTCCTCTTGAATCCTGAACATTTGCTATGCAAAGGATATTTTACATCTTGTGTGCTTTTCAGCATTTACCTCTTATGCATATTCTAATATTCTGCTTCCTTGTCCCTTTTTAAAACCTGTATGTGTGTGTCTAAGAGTAAATATGTGCACACTTGTGAGGATGCCCTCACAGGCTGAAAGGGCCATTGGAGACACTTGAGCTGGAGTTACAGGCAGTCATGAGCTACCCAACACGGCTACAGGCATCCAACACAGCTTATCTGCAAGAGCAGCAAGCACTCTCAGGCACTAGAGATCTCTCCAGCCTCCACATCACAGCCTTCATCAGCTACAATCTCACAATTACAATGATACTGATTTTCAACTATAGCATGTTTCTTTGACTACCTGATCCTTGAATTTATGATTCCAAATTTTATCTTTTGTTTTTTTCTTTAGCATATCTATGACAAGTATTTATGAGTAAGAAGTGAATGAGGCTCTACTTGTTGGAAATGTGTTTTCAGAAGCTTATCGCTTGAGGATTTAAAAGCTTGAGGGCTTGTAACTCTGAGTCCTGATAACTAAAGACTCATTGCTGCAACCTCAAAACTATATGCATTTGTATGCCAGAGACCAACTCCAGCTGCAAAGGTTCAAGTCCTGGATGTAAGGGGCCTCAGCACAAAGCAAAGACACTGTTCACCTGTTGACTTTCAAGCAAGTAACCCCGAATAGCTTGGGACATCTTTATTTATATGATCACAAACTTGCTCACCAGAGAAGAGACATCATTGGTTGTTTTCATTTGAAGTAATATAACATAAATATTATAGAAGCCCCATCATTACAAAAAGCACACAATAGTTTTTTTTCCCCCTTCCCTGGGTCAATCATCTCCCAACCTTAGTTTGCAGTAAAAAGCGCAATTTCAGCAAGCCAAAAATAAACATCTAGCCAGGCATATGTTGTAAATATGAGCACGTACCTAGTTGGCAGAAAATGAAGTTACACAGTTACTCAAGGTGAGATACAAATTGACCACTTGTGAATATAAGTCCATTCATCAAATAGCACCCCTCTGTCATAACACTTTTTAATTGCTGGCAGAGACGTGCTTATTGTACCAAAAACAAAAACAAAAAAACCCTGCTCCTGATATATACCTATCAATTCCTGATAGCATCTTTCCAAGAACCATTTTTTTTAAAAAATCTCTATTGAGCAAACACTTCTTCATTTTTCAGTCTCTGTTGATCAGGCATACCTTCCTCAGAACAGTTATGCAAGCAGGACCCATTGCTCTCCACAGCTGCCACAGGCCTACTCACTGTGCCTGCAGCTGTTTCTCTGGGGATATGATTACATGTCCCCAAATACCCATGTTTAATAGTCACATCTGGAGTATCTGTAGAGAAAGAGAGAGAAGAGGAAGGTTTTACCCCTGAAAAGATTAGTGAAAACAACAACAACAAGAACACAGAATCATTCCCAGAGCTTTTAGCCTGGTTGATGCTAGCTCTGCCAATGACTAACAAAGTAAAACTCCTGATGTGAATATAAAGAGCACAGTGAAATCAAGGAGAGCTTGTAGCACACTCAATCCGGGTAGTAACCACACAGGCCACCAATATTACATTTCAAATAGTCTTGTCTTGTGGAAAAACCTCTTAATTAACTGACTTTTTTTTCTGAGCTCTGATAGTACTTCTGCCTTCTTACCTTTTTTTGTTACTAATGTATTTTAAACACTTCTTTGTAGCCTAGTTTGTGGTTCATTCTTTTATGATATTTTTGGTGGAAACACTATAGCAGGTACTTGTTAGAGCTTTAAATAACACCAAGAATGTATGAAAAACTGTATTAATTAACACTATCTCTCCCATTAGGAAGACTTTTCTCCATTTTTTTCTTATCTTAGTATAATCTTGTCACCTTGAAATTCCTCAAAAAAATTTGCTTCAACAATATTGTCAAACTATTCAAGTATGTTCTGTTATTTCTAAAACATGTTACATAGACTGGTATGAAAAATAAATAAATTTTCTTTTGCAACTCAAAAATCCAGTGTTCCCTCTGAGTTTTGGTACAGGTAAGAGGAAATACGAGATGCCTAATTTAAAGTGACATAGGTATTGATGACCATTGTGGTTGAGTCCAAAAATAAAATGTTGATATTAAAAACAAAAACAAGAGAGTGAAAAAAATGACTCAGTAGTATGACCACTTACAGCTCTTTCTGATGAGCTAGGCTTGATTTCTAGTACCCAAATCTGGTGGCTCACCAACACCTCCAACTCTAGCTCTAAAGGATCCTATTCCCTCATTTGGCCACTCTTCGTACCGCACACATATGTACACACACACACACACCCAGGCACACACACAGATTTTAAAAATATAAAATAAATAAACCTTCAATAAAAAAGTAAGAATGATTTTACATATCCTTAATCCCGTATATTTCTATGGTCAGTTTAATTAAGGTAAGTTCTCCTTGTCATTCAACCTGATGAAAGTTCGAAGAGTTTTCTCTATTTAAACTGTTCGGGCCCTTCCATTTTACACAAGGACCATCATTATTTGCTGTGATGAATCAAACTGCCATTAATTTGGTTTTGTTATAGGGAATTTGTTAATTATTGTGTTTGTGAGTTACTTTGGATCCAAACTGCACAGGCCAAAGCTGATTGGAATCGGTTGCTTCGTCATGGGTTTAGGGTCACTGCTGACTGCGCTGCCACATTTCTTCATGGGATAGTAAGTATCGGATACCCAAAACCTCAAAGTCATTCCACAAAATAATTCTACAAAAACTATTTACTATAGCTATCTCTCCAGTAAGAGGTGGGTTCTGGAGATCATTTACCTGTCCATGCAGGAATTCTAACTGGCTTGATCTGCTAAGAAGAGACTCAGTGCTCAGAACTAAATGAGATTAAAGCGAGAACAGGGAGTGCTGAAATGCCAGGACCCACTTTTGACATGCACAAAAAATTTCACCTTTGTCATACTTAACATTCATACTTGTCACCATATTAATATCCTATTCTTTTTACATTTGACCATTCAAGGAATTTTCTTCTTTTTAATATTTATAATTTTATGATATTTTAATTTATTTCTCTCTGTGTGTCCTCTTCATCATGCACATAGTTTACTTCCATGGCTAGTACCAAAATGCCTGCATCTCTCTATCCCTATATTCAGTCTAACTTCCTGTAAGTATTCATATGAAGTACTGCTAAAGACCTATCCAGAATACACATCAGGTGACTATTTCTGACATTCATTTATCATGGCTATATTTCCACCGGGCATTCACAAGACTTTTCCATCCATGTGTTACAACCTGAACTCAATATTTTTTCCAACAGCTGCTCACTTTCATATCCATTCATTCAGCAACAGTTCTTACAATGGCAAAGGAAGTCATAACAAAGTCAAGGGCTTCATCCTAAGTTCTAGATTCAGTGCAGCACAGAAAACCAGCAGTCCCAAAGATCTTACTTATTCTATATCTTTTTTTTTTTTCTCAGTATGGACATCAATGTCATTTTTTTTTTTTTAGCTGATGCCAATAATCTGGAGTCTGGAGGTTTTGCCTTTAGTTTCAATTCCGTTTTTAAGGACTTATTTATTATTTTTATTTTATGTGCATGGGTTTTTTGCTTTTGTATATTTATGTGCACCACATGCTTACAGAATTTGTGGAAGCAAGAAGAAGGCATTAGATTCCCTGAAACTGGAGTTATAGTTAATGATGAACTTCCTGACATTGGTGCTGGGAACTGAACTCATGTCCTCAGGAAAGGCAGCCAGAGCCCATCACTGCTGAGCCATCCCTCCAGCCCCTCAGCTATTCTGTTTCACATTCAATAAAAGAACATAGTTTTGAATGCAAATCTCATTTTACTAACATTGCTTAAAACTCCCAATTTGCTAGAACAGATTTTCAAACCTCAGATCCCAGCTTATCAGTGGACCAGCAAGCCCATTCAGGTTTACTGAGACCTCCCATATATTATAAAATAGACTTGAACAATACAAAACATATGCATGAACAAATTCTATCCTTCAATAGAATCATTCAAGCTATACATATATTTGCAATTGTGCATGTATTCTATGACAGACATACAAAATGCAATTATTATAAGTCACCATCAAAAAATATTGAAAGGTCCTGCTTGTGGGTAAATCCTACATGCACATGTCCATATGTGCATGTTAATCACATGTGCATGTGTGCTGCTCACTGACTGGGTCCCTGACTGTCCTAGCCTCACTTTGCACTCTTCTCCACAATTGCCAAACACCTGATTAAGCTGCAGTTCTCCACTTGTGCAAATATTTTTCTTTTATACACATTGGCTCTACACCCTTGTATACTTTCCTCTGGCCTCTATCTCTTATGCTCCTGATCACTAAGAATCACCTCACATGTTCTATACAAGACAAGGTTGTCTAATATCCACGTATTCTCAACCTTCAAGGACAGCTAATGATTTCTCTTTATGACAACTCAGGTCTTGGCTACTGAACTTACATGTTAGAGAATGGAAGTCCCAAGTACAAAAAAAAAAACCTATGCATTTTGTTTCTAGTTTTGAAGTGGAGTAGAGTGCCTAACATGTAACTGATTATCTATCGTGGAAGTACAGGATACATTAGTGTTTCTCAGATTACTGCATACGTCCCTAATCCGACTCCATATTCTTTGTTGCGATTAAATTCTCGAGGTCAAGTTGAAGTGGATTCGAATTTATTAAAGTGTCAGAGAGTGAAAAATTAGCTCATGTGTGCATATACATTTGTAAAAAAGAAATCAGATGTTTTAATAGGAAAGGAAGAAGAATTAACATGTGTTAAAGACTGATTTGAAAACACTACTCTCTAGTGTATTAAACATAACTCATCAGAAAGTTTTATTACAGTCATCTTTGCAAATAATTTAAAAGGATGATTACACTGAGCTAGCAGTTGACCAAACAGGGGAAGCCAGGACTTTTCACATTATGAGCAGAGTTATTACTCCCATCTGTTCTAGGCTGGTATCAAGGGGCTCATCCACCTTGCAGAGTGACAATGAAGAACCTTACTTATTGGAGCTTCCCCCCAGTTTACTGTTACCCATTATTTCTCCTGAGAAATTGAGACTGAAAATTATCAGGGAATTCTCATTAATATGCAGAAGAGAGAAGTACATTTAATAGTTTCTGAGGAAAGTGGAAATACTTGGTAAATGAATAAAATATTAAGTCTAGTGATATCCTTGTAGTTACAGGACACCAAAAGAAAATGACATCAACTCTCTAGACAACTCCACAATGGTGTGTTTAGTTAATCAAACTACATCATTCAATGGAGCTTCACCTGAAATAGTGGGAAAAGGTAAGAATTAACAGTAACAGGGAATCATATTTGAAACTTTGTATATATAATAAAACATATCAGAAAAAATTGATTAAAAACAAAGGGGAGTGGGAGGGTGGGGCTGAGAGGAGAAGAGGGATGGGGCTGTGATCAGGATGTAAAATGAATAAATTTATAAAATACCTTAATGCATTTGACTCCAACATATAGACATAACCATAGTGTGAACATTTGATGCAGAACAAACCTTTAGAAATGACTAAGGAAGACCTAAGGATTGTTTCAGTTGGAAGTTGGAAAAGAACATTTACAGGCAAAACAAAGGGGATTGGGAGGGAATGAGGTAGGGGGTTACAGCTGGGATACAAAGTAAATAACCTGTAATTAATATAAAAATAAAAATTAAAAAAATATAAGAATTGACGGTTGTATGTCTGAAATCTGAGCACACAGGGATTGAAGCAGAAGGACTGTGGCTTTGAGGCCAAAGCGAGCCATGTACTATGAACCTGTCTCACCAAACAACTCAAGCCAGCAACAATGCATTAATATGTAAACAAAGGAGAAGTCCATTTTAAAATGGAAAAAAAATTTACTACAACTGAAGATTTTAAAAACTATTCTAATGAGAAAATACAGATGTAACTCTCTAGATAATTCTACCTATTATATCTGATATGGGAAGATTAAAAGTAAAATAATGAGAAAATCATTTTTTAATTTTTTGTGTTGTTGAGAGTATATAAATTTATTAGTTTCTGAAAGTTATTTTTCAACATTTTTCTAGCACAGTGCTAGCTGCAAAGGTGATAAATACAAAATGGATATTTAATTTTATACTATATATAAGAAATGTGTATATTATATGCCCAAATATGGAAGATGAATAACAAATATTGAATGATTTTCTTTGTGTAGTGAGGTTTCAGATCATGTTTGTTTTCTGCCTTTTTTTCCTTTTTGTGTCTTTTTGCTTCTTCACACTCTGCAGATTCATTGGAAATCATTTAAAATTCAGAAAGAAAAAAGAGGAAGCGAGTGCTGCAGCACCCCAGGAAAAATCTGTATCTGGGGAATTTCTGATATCAGTGCTGTGACTGATGTTTAAAGTAAAAGCTATTTTTGTCTACACAGGTTGTGAAAGCGAATCCAAGTCATACACGTGGATTTATGTCTTGATGGGGAACATGCTTCGTGGGATAGGGGAAGCACCAATAGTCCCGCTGGGAGTTTCCTACATTGATGACTTTGCAAAAGAAGGGAGCTCTTCTATATACTTAGGTAAAGTACAGAGCATAGTAAATTCAGTGCTTAATTTCTCGGAGTCTACATTTTAAATGTAAGCTTTGTTAAATTCATCCTTTTAAACCATTTTTACTTTGATTTATTTTATTGTATGCGTATGTGTGTTTTGCCTGCATTTATGTATGTACACTACAGGTATGCAATGCGCAAGGAGGCCAGAAGAGGGTCTCAGATTCTCCTGGAACTGAATTTACAGATGGTTGTGAGCTTTCATGTCCTTGCAGGGAACTGAACCCAGGTCCTCTGGAAGAGCAGCATCTGCTATTAACCAATGAGCCATCTCTCCAGCTCCCTAAGCAAATTTCGATCCCTAGGAAAAAATTATTTAGAGAAATGCCTTGTATAACACTACATTTTAAATCCTGCTGTATAAAAACCATATATTTACAAGTTCAAGGTGAACAAAATCCCAGCATGGAGATGGGAGGTGGCCACACACCCCCATCCCTAGCTATGGAGCTATTAGCTGTTGATTACCACTGAAAGAGGGAGAGTAAGTTTACTTAACAGTGAGGCCCAAGATGAGTTTACCATGCTCTGGTGAAGGCTGCTCCCAAGAGCACCTATAGCACAAGCTAAAGCTAATGAGATTTATCGAAAGCAGAAGGCACAAATTTGTGTGGGTGAGGAAGTGGGGATGGGTCCAGGGGAGTAGATGTGTTGAATATAATGAAAATTTGGTGTTGGAGGGAAAAAAGAAAGTTATGTGTACTTGGAATCTGACTGAATGGTTTTGAAATGTTGGCAGGTATTCTGCATACTGTAGCAATGATTGGTCCAATCTTCGGCTTTCTTTTGTCATCTGTGTTTGCTCGAATGTATGTAGACATTGGATTTGTCGACCTGGGTAAGTAATATCAGAAAAGAGACTGGGAGAGTGTCTTTCAAATGTCAGCCATCATGCCTTCAAGTTACTGGTTTAACTCTTAATGGTCCCTTAATTGTTTTGCTTTAGAATTTATAAGTGTCAGGGATGTATTCATAGTCATCTCTTGCTCTGTCAAGCTTCTGTAAGTCAGTATAAAATGGGGCATTTGGTACAATCTTAACTGAGATGACTAGATCCCAAACAAACTGGTTACACAGTCAAATCAGTTGCACTTTCACTTGGTGGTGGATTGGATTTAAAAATGGAGTAATGACAGATTGAAGATTTTGAAAGATGCTGTGAGGCTGTGGTGTTGGAGGACGGCTGAAGGGGTTGAGTATTTCCACCGTGTGTCTAAGTTTTGATGCTTTCCCTGGATTTAACAGAGGGCTTGGCACATGGTCCCTTTCAATTAGAAGATGAAGGAATGCATAATAGGTGATCCTTATGGCTGTTCTCTTCTCTCAAAGCAAGTTTTTCTTCACACATCAAAGAAATTGTCCAAAATTTGGAAACTGTCTTAACTGCAAGCCTTCCTTCCAATATCATCTTTTCCCCTCAAAGTCAGTAAAAATTATACCTACGTTCAGCTCTTGTTTGTAGATCCACCCTAGGCGTTAGGTCTTCATCCTGCACCTTCAAGATCTTGTTATGGCAGTCTTCCATGGATCCCACCCTGTTCACCTTCTACCCTCATTTCCACTCTCTTTACTACGAAGAACTTCCCGATCTCTGCAGCCTTTTTACACAAATGACTTTTTGATGTTCTCAAACCACTCTGTATCTGGTTTTCCATTTCCCTATTTCTCTTCATAGACAATTATCTTGAAAAAAAAATGTGAATTCAGAAGACATCTCATTTCTCCCCTACCATCTACTTCTCAGCTGTAATCTGTTTTCACGTGCCCATAAAACAAAGTAAGGTATAACTTAAAAAAGAAATTTGCTCACTTTTTCTATTTCTAGATGTCTGAATTAAACACCTAAATCTCAGCATGGCAAACAGTGGGCTGACAATCTCACTCTAAAAACTTGCTTTGTTTCCCATAGTCTTTCTCTTTTTGGATATCGTAACCTTACTTATGTGGACTGAGCCATCACCTAAATTTTCTTCCATTTGATCTACCTACAACCTCAGCCTTCTTCACTCATCAAGTTTTCAGAATAACCCTTCTTAACAAATCTGATCCACACTTATGAATGTATAGCTACTGGGTATGGCAGCGAGGCTCTTCCCAACTAGACACACAGTTCTATGTGATCAGTTGTATCTTTATTTTATTTATTTATTATTTATTATAATCTATTCACTTTGTATCCCCACTGTAGCCCCTCCCTATTCTCTTCCCAGTCCCACCCATCCTCCCTTTTCTCTCCCTATGCCCTTCCCCTAGGATAGACATTGGTAGTAGGAGAAGACAGGGAACAGGAGAGGAGCCTTCCACCGGGGGGGGGGGGTGTCTCTGAAAGACTCTACCCAGCAGGGTAGCGAAGCAGATGCTGAGACTCATAGCCAAACTTTGGGCAGAGTGCTAGGAATTTTATGGAAGAAGGGGGAGATAGAAAGACATGGAGGGGACAGGAGCTCCACAAGGAGGCCAATAGAGCCAAAAATTCTGGGCCCAGGGGGGCCTTTAGAGACTGATGAATCAACCAAGGACCATGCATAGAGAGGACCTACTCCCTCTGCTCAGATGAAGCCCATTGGCTGCTCAGTTTCCAAGTGGGTATCCTAGTAAGGGAAACAGGGGCTGTCTCTGACATAAATTCAGTGGTCGGATCTTTGATTACCTCCCTCTGGGAGGGTGCAGCATTGCCAGGCCACAGAGGAAGTTGATTCAGCCAGCCCTGATAGGGTTGGGTCAGATAGAAGGGGAGGAAGACCTCCTCTATCAGTTGTATCTTTATAATTTTACTCTCTTCTTTTCCACTCTTTCTCATTGATACTCTTTGCATTAAACATGACTACTGATTTTGAGACTCTCCAAAGATCCTTTCATCTCATAGTCCTGAATCTTTTAATGGAGTGTTCTGTTTTTCCATTAGCATATTTTTGAGAGTATCATTCAAGATATGGCTGTTCTAAGATGCTCCACTTCCCTGATCTCCTACTGGCTCAGAGACTACCAAATGAATGATAATCTTTTTAGAAATAACAGGAAGAAGCCCCTATTAACATATAAATGGCTAGTGTGAAAACAAATCTGATTTTCTATCTCATCAGGACTCTAATGACTTCAAAGGCTTTATTTCCAAAATAGAGTTGACAACACTGTAGGCCCACAGAAGCTATCAACTTCCAAGTGTTTTCAATATAAACCCTTAATCAAAACATCTCTTCTCATTCATTTCCAAGTTCATACTTGTTTTCAAATCTCATACAGAGCTGAGGAAGATCTTTTGGTGTTGGATAATACTCTGTTATATTTAGAAATAATTTTCTGTGTAATATTAAAATGTCTAGATATCAATAAATGGACATTCAGTTGTTTTTGCCTCTCCTTATTCAGTAATAGATTCAATAAGTTTTATATGTTTTGCCTCCTTACTTAACTCCTGACACACAAAGAGTGAGACTTTTCATAATTTTATTTCCAGACAGTTCTTCAGTAGTGTAGAAGGTTGATTTTTGCTATAATGTTGTGTCCAACAATTTCACAACAAAAGTTAGATCACATCTACTGTGATCAAGAATATTGTTGTCTCTTTGTCTACTGTCAGTTTCAGGGTAGTGCTAGCTGTGTTGAATGAGTCTGAGAGTGACTCATTAATATTTAGATTTTTGAGAAAAGACAATTGAGGTAGGTCTGTTCTCCGCCTAGTGCTTACCACTCCAGTGAAGCCTTCTGGCTCTGAGGATTGTGTGTGTGTGTGTGTGTGTGTGTGCACATACACGTGTGTGTATGTTCTTGCTCCAGTGTCCTCACTAGCCACAGGCTTTTCCAGGATTTCTAACAATTCATGATTTAGCTTTTGCAGGTTGTATGTCTTTAGAAATTTCTACGGCTTTTAGTGATTATAAACTGACTGACCATCATTCACAGGAATGTCAGCTGACAGATACTATTAACTTATCATTTCTCTTAGAACTACAAAGAAAAATACAATTGAAATAAGAATATATAGCTGGGTCTTGAGATAGAGCTGTTCCCAGTTTTCTGAGAAAGCACCAGATTAATTTCCAAAGTGGTTGTATGAATTTTCACTCCCCCTAGCAATGGAGGAGTGTTCCTCTTTCTCCACATCTTCACCAGCATGTGCTGTCACTTGAGTTTTTGGTCTTAACCATTCTGATGGGTATAAGATGGAATCTCAGAGTCATTTTGATTTGCATTTCCCTGATGACTAAGTATGTTGAACATTTCTTTAAGTGCTGCTCAGCCATTTGAGATTCCTCTGTTGAGAATTCTGTTTAGCTCTGTGCCCCATATTTTATATGGGTTATTTTGTTTCTTAGTGTTTAATTTTTTGAGTTCTTTATATATTTTGGATATTAACACTTTGTAAAATGTAGGATTGGGTGAAGATCTTTTCCCAATCTGCAGACTACCATTTTGTTCTAATGACAGTGTCCTCTTCCTTACAGAAGGTTTTCAGTTTCAAGAGGTCCCATTTATTAAATATTGATTTTAGGACCTGAGCTTTTGGTGTTCTGTTCAGAAAGCTGACTCTTGAGTTCAAGGCTGGTTCCCTTCTAATAGAGTTAGTGTTTCTGGTTTTATGTTGAGTTTTGATAGGATGCATCTTTTTTTTTTTTCCAGTTGCTTATAAGGTATATTTTGTAATTCCTTATGTATTTTTAAAATAATTTATTCTATTTTTTGAGGAATGTTTTTGGAATTTGAAAGAGAATTTTATTGCTTCTCTAGATGACTTTTTATAGTATCTATAGTTTAATTATATATAATTTATGTACACGTAATTATGAACATGGGAAAGTGATTGTGCCAAGACTTACTGGAACCACAAGCTAAAAGAAAAAAAAACACTGACTTATACAATTGTGTTCTGACTTCCACATGCAGTTTATAAAATTCACAGGCACATACACTTACAAATATATTTTAATATATAAAAAATGAGAAAATGTTAATTAGACTATTAAATCTCGGATTTTAAGAAGTCAATCATGTCTTTGGGTTATTTGCAAAATAAGGTAGAACAAAGGGTATATTAAAATTTAGGCAATGGACTTAATATTGAGAAAAACATGGTTAAAAACAGACTCATGGAGAGGTTTGATAAGGAATAAGAATAAGTCAAAGGATTGTGTCATAATGAATATCTTTTGTAAGAATAAAACTGAATGATTACCATTCCTATTTGTACACAAAAACTGATTTTTCTGAATAAATAAAAGGTAAACATAAAAAAAGAAAAAAGAATGGTAAAAACTGCCCTCTGATGAGCACGCATCGTCTCTGGGTTCCTTGTAAACTCAGATGTTCACTGTGTGCCTTTCTCTGCTATTAATAGAGCTGCATATGAAGTAACTAAATGGAACCTTCCCATTTCTTGGAAACACTTTTCCCTTTTCCTGATGCTATCCTGACCTCTGCAGGAGGTACCAATAACCATTTTCAGATGATGGTGAATACTTATGTCCTGCCTTGGTCATCTTTGAGGTTAAATACTTAGTGTAGACAATTCTCCAGTTATGGTTGTGTCTGTATGGTGGTAAGCTATAATAATGTGACTGGGTTCTGACAACAGAAATTGTAAGATGTCATCAAATGGCTGACCCATTCATACTTTTTTTTAATTATTTTTTTACCATTCATACTTTTTTAAATTAAATTTTTATTTTTTTAAATATTAGTTACAGTTTATTAACTTTGAATCCCAGCTGTAGCCTGCTCCCTCATTCCCTTCCAATCCTACCCTCCCTCCCTCATCTTCTCCCTACCCCTTTCCAAGTCCACTGATAGAGGAGGACCTTTCATCTGACCCTAGCTTATTAGGTATCTTCAGGCCTGGCTGCACAGGTCTCCTCTGTGGCCTAGCAGGGCAAGTTGACAAACCACTAACAAAAGAAAATTGCATTTTAGGATTGATGAAATATAGTCTGCTTTCTTTGTGGAGGCCAGCAGTCTTTTTAGAGTGATTTCTGACTGTCCTGTTATCATTACTCATTCCAGACAGTATCCGAATAACTCCTAAAGATGCTCGTTGGGTTGGTGCCTGGTGGCTCAACTTTATTGTGACTGGCTTATTATGCATTATTTCTTCCATACCCTTCTGTTTTATACCCAAAATTCCAAAGACATTTCAGAAGGAAAGGAAAAATTCAGCATCTCTGCATATACTCAAAACAGATGAAGAAAAGAATTTCAAGGCTAATTTGACCAAACAGGAGAAACAAGCTCCTGGCAACATGTCTGGTAAGGATTACACAGTCAGTCAATGTGCAGATGTTAATCCCATTGAAATCTAAGCATATTTCAAAACAATATGTTCAACTCATCTATATAGCTTTCTTCTGCACTACACTTTGCTTAACTCTTTCCAAATTTTCTATTAAAATTGGCATACCCTGTCTTTGTTACTTTTCAATTGCCATGAAGATCCACCCCATGAACAAGGCAGCTTATAAAAGAAAGCATTAAATCTGGGGACTTACAGTTTTAGAGATTTAGAGCCATGACCATCCTGACAGAGAGTATAGCAGCAGGTAGTCAGGCATTGTGCAAGGGAAGTACCTGAGAACATACACCTTGATCCCAAGCATGAGGCAGACACACACACACACACACACACACACACACACACACACACAGAGAGAGAGAGAGAGAGAGAGAGAGGTTAAGGGGAATGTCATTGGCTTTGGAAAACCTAACTGTGGTGGCATATCTCTTTCAACAATTATAAACCAAATATCCAAATATGAGCCAGCAGGGGCCATTCTCTTTCAAATCACCATGTTCTCTATTATGTACAAATATTAGGATTAGATTTGTGGCTTTTAATATAGAGAAAACAAAGCTAGGGAGATGGCTCAGTGTCTAGGAGCATTTGTCATAAGGGTTGTCTAGAAGCACTTGTCCTAACAGTGATTCAGTCAGATAGAGAAAAGTAGCTGAGACAATGAGGCTTTGGCAGCAGTTTTCCGATTGGAGGGAAGAGGGGGGAAGGACATAGAGAAGGTAGGGGAGAGGAGAGCACATGAGAGCAAAGTATTTCAAAACACTGATGGAAATGCTACAATGAAATTCATTTCTTTACACTTTAACATAAAAGTTTAACTTAAAAAAATGGAGGGGAGGATCAGACTGTATTGGTGAAATAGAAACAAAACAAAACAAAAGAAAACAACTACTGTAACTACCACTGCCAGTTACAGTGGTACTGGGCATCATGAGTTCAAGGCCAGCCTGAACTACGAGACCAGTGCAAGATAACTCACTCTGAAAGGCAGAAGCAAGTGAAGTGCTGTGAGTTTGAAGCCAGTTTGGTCTACAAAGTGAGTCCAGGACAGCCAAGGCTATACAGAGAAATCCTGTCTTGCAAAACAAAACAAATGTCACCAACAAAAAGTAAGTCAGTGAAATAATTTGTGATGGTTTATGTTGATCGTGAATATATTGGAATCCAGGAGGCAAGCCCCTGAATATGTCTGTGACCAACAGTTGCACTTAGGTTGACTAAAATGCAAAGAACCCAGCTGACTGTGGGCAGCAGCATTCAAAGGACTGGGGTTTTAAACTGAATAAAAAGGAGAAAGCAAGCTGAGTATTCATCTCTCTCTGCCCCCTGACTTTGGGTACTGTAGGAACAGCTCCCACAACCATTATCATGGCTTCCCCGTAGTGACGTTGCACACCCCAAAACTGAGAACCCCAATCCATCCTTTCGTTCTTAAGCTGCTTTGTCAGGGTGTTTTGTCACAACATCAATACAAATGACTGTGACACAAACAGTCCTATGGGAAACCTTTATAAGATGACTTTGGAATCAAAGTACAAGTTCTCAGATGTGGCCCAAGTTCTTTCACTTCTACAGCTGATTGCTTTTTTTTTTTTTTCTCTTCATCACTCCAATCAAGGACATTCCTGGGCTGGAGCCAAGTGGGATGCTTGGTTTGTAATAGAGGATAGCTCAGTTTATACCAGAAAACAGAGTTTGATTGGTTCCTTAAGAGTAAGTTGTTACACACCAGAGACCATGACACTGTTTTGTTTTATCCCTGGCCCTGGGATTTATCTCAGAGCTTTAAGCATGCTAGGCAAGGGTTTTATGGTCCCAAGGTTTTAAAATTTAACATAGACATTAAAAAGAACGTGAGAGGGGACTGGAGATATGGCTCAGTGCTTATAAGAGCACTTGCTGCTCTTGCAGAGGACCCAAGTTACCTTCCCAGAACCGTCCATGAAAGTTGATAACTATATGTAACTCCAGCTCTAGAGAGCCAATGCCCTTTTCTGACTTCCAAGGACAACAGTATGCATGGATTCACACACACACACAGACACTTAAGTTTAAATTTTGTTGTTGTAGTTGTTTAAAGTATACCAAGAAATTTTCAGCCAGCCGGATGTAGTAGCACATGGCTCATATCCGAGCACTTGGGAAGCTGGAGTGAATTTGTTAGTACTCTGGTGTTGATGTAGCCTGGGACTCCTCTGCTTCTTGTTCTTTTACCCTAAAGCAGGTTGCTTCAGTGCTGCCAGCTAGGTGAGGTAGTGTTTTAGGCAGGTGGCTTTCATGCCACAGTATTGGCTGGGCAATGTTTAAGGGAGAAGGCTTCAGTATTGCCATATTTGCTGGGGAAGTGCTTTGTAGAAAAGCTGCATTCCAAAGAAGAAAGTGTTGGGATCCTCATGGTAAATTCATACTTATAATTTTCAAACATCAGTGTTCTTATTCCTATGGTCACAGATTATTTTAATTTCTATTTAATGAATTGCTCCATTAACATAAGAACCACATTATTAAGTGCTGACAATAGAAAACATCACAAGCAAGATTCATGTTTCAGTATCTTTTCTGGTACCCAATTCAAAACCAAGTATTTGTTAAATGACCAGGTAAATGGATTGATACGTATAAAAAACTGAGAGTGTGAAGAATTGCCAACTATTCACTGAATAAAACAAGTCACAAAATAAAAAGACAAAAAACAGCCCTGTCATTTTGAGAAAAAATAATTAACCATATACATAATATAAGTATGGATATTCTTGAAAAAGATTTCATAGTACTCCAACTTTCTGTTCTATGCATTATATAATTTTAAATCACACATGTAATAAGTAGAAGATTAGGATGTGGGAATATTTCAGTTGTATTACAATGTTTTCTTCACTCTTTTTATTTTAAGGTTTTCTCCAGGCTCTGAAAAGCATCCTTACTAACCACCTGTATGTTATATTCATGGTACTTACATTACTAAAAATCAGCAGCTTTATTGGAAGTTTTACCTACTTGTTGAAGTTTATAGAGCAACAGTTTGGCCAGCCAACATCTCATGCCAACTTTATGTTAGGTAAGATAAGTGATGTATAAACTGAAAACATGACCGCTACACAGTATGGTTTAGGGGAAGTTCTTTATTGTACACACGAGTGTGAGAACAGAGAGAAGCATCTGGAAGAGTCCAGAGCAGAGAGCAAAAGTCAACTGAATATGGGTAGCAGACTAACCTTATCCAGGGAGAGAGGTGAAAATGCCAAAGGAGAGAGAATAGAGAAAGCATGCCGAGAGAGACGGGCCACAGCATAAAGAAAAGAAGGAAGGAAGCAGAGGGGGTGGGTAAGAATAGATCAAAATAACAGGGTGGTAAGCATTAGTGTCTGGAGGAGGGGCAGCAGGTGAGCTGGAAGACGTTTGCTAGGGGAGGAGTGAGAAGGGCTGAGACTAGCATGGACTATGAAATGTGTAACAAGTTCTTATCATACTGAGGGAGCCTGGAGGACCCCTGAGCTTTGGTATGCTCAGAGGCATCCCATTTGTTCTTTCTGTCAGTGATGAGATAAATGACTCTTTTAGTGGAGGAAACCACGAGTTCCTGAGCAATGCTGGCCTTTATCTAATCAGGAGAACTATTCCTATAATCAGTTTTTGGATATTTGGACTGTCTTTTGGAGTCTGGAAAATTAGGGCTCCTTTTGGAGCTGACAGATGAGGCACTATAGAATCTGGGCCCTGGGCACCTGCACCTACCTGTACCCCTCCAATGCAGAAACACACATAACACACACATAAACAAAGCCATGAAATAATCCAAGTGTTAAAAAGGTTTTAGGTTATGAAGGCTTGATACATTTTCATTATTATTTTCCGGGGTCTGGTGTCCCTCATAAAATTCAGGCATTCAAAGGCAACGTCTAACTTCTGTTATCACATACTGGTGTCCTTTTTTTTTTTTTTTTTTTTTTTTTTTACATCTTTTTGTTTTTTCTTCCATCTCCATTCTGGTCATTTATTTCTACTTTGAAGCAACAGAATTGAAGGGTTTATGTAGATACAACACAAAAAACAAACAAACAAACAGACAAAAAACCATCAGAGTAATCTTTCTTACATAATTATAACATTTTTCTCTTATTTACAGGAATTACAACCATACCTGCTATGGCAACTGGAATGTTTTTAGGAGGATATATCATTAAAAGATTCAAATTGACTCTGGTTGGGATTACCAAGTTTGCATTTTTCACCTTTACAATGTCCTATGTGTTTCAGCTATTATATTTTTCTCAAATCTGTGAAAACAAATCATTTGCTGGCCTAACCTTGACCTATGATGGGTTTGTATATATCATTTCATCAACACGGTAATATGTTGACTCCAACTAGAAGAATGTGTGTGAGAAAAGCAGGGCTCAAAGCAGTTTCCATTAAATTGTAGTTAGTAAGCCTCACAATTTATAAATGCTCCAAACAATCACTATTTGAGATCTCTCAAGAGCAGCGATTTCTCTTTTAAAGAAATTATTTCCACTTTAAAGAAAAACTGGGTGGTTTTGATTGTGTCATTTTCAGAGTATTCACAATGTGCAATAGCTATGGGGTCCCAGGGACCTTTGTCCCCCTGAGACCAACATAGAGTTTATACAACCAACAGTCCCTGGACAATCACTGACACTTATGACTCAAATTTGGAGTTTTAGACTCCAAAAATCTTGGTCTTCCCCATTGCAATCTTGGCTAGGTTGTGAATGTAGATGCAGGCAACTTGCACAGCCATGGTTAAACACCCTTTATCTAGAGTTCATTAAACAGATACCTGTATAAGTGACCAGCTCTTCATTCTCTGTGAACTGGCTCTGCTACTGTCCCCATTAGAATTAGACATTCAGATATCCCAGGTTTTTTTTTTTTTTTTTTTTTTTAACTACATAATGAAACACATTTCTGTCACTTCAGCTTCCCTAAGGTCAGGGACAGGAGTCTCCCATGCAGACTCTTATCTCCTAATTATAGCTAGAAATTAAGAAAGCTCACACACCAGTAACTCATGCAGATTTCCCATTGGTCAGACTAGCTTTGGAGTTTTGTGACTCATTAGCCTTTCTCTTCCCTCCTCTCCCCTTCCTTCTGCCTCCCCTCCTTTCCATTCCCTTTCTTTCCCTCCCTTCTTTCCCCTATTCTCCTTCTCCTTCCCTTCCCATCCTTTTCACCACCTCCTCTCTCTTTTCCTTCCCTCTCTCTCTTCCCCTCCCTTCTCTTTCCCTCCTCTTCCCTTCCCTTCTCTTCCATTCCTTTTCTCTAACCTCAGTCCTTTTCCTCCCCTCTGCACTGACTTCATCCTCTCCTCCCATTCTCCTCTCTTTACCCATCTCTTCCTCCTCCTCTGATTTCTTTTTTCTATTTTCTTCTTCCTCTTTCCTTTCCTCCCCTTTCCCTTCCGTCCTGCTCCCTCCCTCCATCTCTCTCTGACATATGTCTTTCTATTATATACCTCCAGCATGAACCCAGTGGACTCTCACATAGACGTGCCACTTTCGCATTGCAACTCAGACTGTAGCTGTGATAAAAAGCAATGGGAGCCCATCTGTGGGGAGAATGGAGTGACTTACCTTTCCCCCTGTCTGGCTGGATGTAAATCTTCTAGTGGTGATAAAAACTCTAGGAGTATAGTGAGTATCGGTTTTCATATTCTCACCTCTCCTTGGTCATAACTTCACAGTAAATCTCACAGTTGCCTTTACATCTTTCTAGAGCTAAGGTGCCAGTCTAAGATGCAAAAATCCTATTATGGTCTGCAGTTGTGAAACCTGGGAGGTTACCAGAGCTTCACATGAAATCCTCCTTGGATCCATCAGATTTTTCTGTGACTTGAATTCTATTTGGAGATCACTTCACTTCAAGCTTTTCATTTTCAAGAGTCAGAATATTGTCTTTTGGAACCTGGATATATTTAGGGTTTTGAAAGCTCTTTTCATGATTCAAGCATCTAACTGTCATCACTGAAAATTACTTTATATCTCAGATGCTAAAGACCAATATTAAATCAACATATAGACAAAACAGAATTTTTTTCTATAGAATTATGTGAATCTAATTCTGTGCTCCCTACCCTTTTGACTTCCTGAGAAACAGCCCTTTCTTGCTTGCCTGGCTGTCCAATTCTCACCTATCAGTTCTGAATTCCCCAACACTACCGCTCCTACCCAGATAATCCAGTATCCTTTCTACATGTGCCTAATATATGTCATGCCGTGCCACCTTGTTTTCATTCAAAATGCTCCTTTCCTTGTGAACTATGAGTTATCCTCAGTCTCCTGCTGACTCCCAAGCATGGAAATCACTTATGGTAGTACATAACCTGCCAAACTACTCAGCATCTCACAAAATTGGACAAATATCCTTGTTTACCGTTTCCTAATACAAACATCGGGCATATAAATAGTTACGGTTTTATATTTTTGACACAAGATCTTGCTATGTAGTTGAGGATACCCATGAGTTCAGGGTTCTTCTGTCTTAGCCTCTTAAGTGCTGGGATCACAGATGTGCACAGCCACACCTGGCATGATCTTTGCTTCCCTCTATAATCTGTGTGGCTCAACCCATTTGTATAAGTGATTCTCATTTTAGATTATGGCCCCTCTCAAACTGTCAAATGTAATCATTCTCTGGGAAGTTCTTTCCAAAGGCATGTGGCTGACACAGAATTTTTAAAAGAATTTTTAAATAAAGTAAAGAAGTAAATATAATATAGGGGGAAAAGTGAGAGGAAAACAACTATGAAAAAGAACATGTCTGAATGAAGAAATTATGAATAGTTTCAAACACTAATTTATTTCATTATTTTATAACCTTGAAATTGGAAATGAGTTGATAATTAAGAGCAAATTACATTTTCTTGTCCAGAGAAAAAATACAGATTACTATATTTATTATCTTTTAGTTATTAAACAGCTATGTTTTTTAGAAGCTTTAAAAACAGTAAACACTTTTGCTAGAATAGAAGAACCTTTTAAAAATATAATGGTATGTATTTATAAGACTTTCACATTTTACCAATACATTCTAGAATATTTCAAAATCTGTCTTTTAGGTATTCTATGACTGCGATTGTATCAGAGACTCTGGTTTCCAGAACACAAACCACTCAGCACACTTGGGTGAATGTCCAAGAGACAATTGTAAAACAAAATATCATTTGTATATATGTTTTCAAATCTTGAATTCTTTTTTCACTTCACTGGGAAGCACTTCGTTTGTCCTGATCCTGATAAAGTGAGTATACTTTGTTTCTGTTTGCTGCTTCTTTGTGGGGTACATGTGTTGGCCATTTAGAAGTTTGATAGTTATCTGTGGCATCAAGCCCCTTCCACCTCTACTCTGGAGGCCAGGTCAGGGCTGCCTCTAAACTTGCAAAGACAGAAGGGAATGCGGATGGGTGCTGGGGACTCACACTCAGGTCCTTACACTTTTAAGCAAGAGATTTACTGACTGAGCCTTCTCCCCATTCTGAGCTTGAGTTGTTAAAGCTTCTACATTAGTTATGTATGTTAGATTATAAATATACTTACCAATTTCCATTGTCTTATATTTGGGATCTAAGTGCATATCTTGTCCCATTTTAATTTTTCAAGAGTACATGTTCTCATGATTATTTTATTTGTCCAATACTATAGATAGCAATAATTTTGCATATGCTTTTTTTCTTTAGGGAATCTGGATTCTGTGTGCTCTCAGCTTGCTAGACAATTAAAATGTAGATTTATTGGGAATTGTCTCAATTGTAAAAGTCTCTCCTTAATTTTAAAAGAACTTTTATGCTCATTTTGATTCTGTCCTGAGAAACATTTATTGATCTTCATGAAAGAAATCCATTTGGAAGCCTGATAACATTTCTATGATGTGATAGGTTATCAGTTGAGAGCGATTACTGCACTTCCAGGAGGCCTGAATTCAGTTCTCAGCACTCACCTCAAGTGTCTCACAATCACCTGAAACTGCAGCTCCAAGGAGTCTGACCCCATCTTCTGAGCTCTAAGGGCACACACACCCTCACACACACATTAGTAAAAATTATTATATTATATTATATTAAAAATTTGAAATAATAGTATTTCAAAAGTGTTATTTTACCCACAGAATAACTTTTGATCCAATTCTTCATAATACCCTGTAGGCAGAAGAAAAAAAATATGAAAATACCTGAGTTGTTCAGTTTTTTAGACAAATATTGAGGCAAGATTCTGTGCTTTTAGAATGTTCCAGGGAAAGTTGGAGATAACTTCTTGTGGACATACATCTTGGAGTACAATGTTGAAGACCATCATGAATCAAATTATCATTAAAATGGGCCCATGACAATTCTAAAATGATCTTAATGCTATAGGAAAATTGTTGCTGTAAGATGAGGGGGAAAAAAAAGCCTCGTTTAAGACAGGCCAGGAAAAAACAAAATCTCAAAAACAAAATAAAACAAAACCAAACCAAAAAGGGTGTTATTTGATCCCATGGCATAAAGAAGTAGCTAGATGAAGGCTTTAGGAGGGAATTGGTTCACATCTTAAATCCTGACACTGGAAAAAGGCACAAGTTGGAAAAGAAAAGTGGTTGGGTTGGCAGCAAGTGTTGAGAAGAGTGTGGAACAAAAGGAATGGGAGGACTGGAAAGGAAACAAGTAACACAAGCTCCATTTGACCAAGCTCGTCCTCAGTCACACCTAAAACTAAAAACATGTGACATTTGTATGTCGATCTTTAAAATGTATTTATGTAGGTATGGTGACCTGTTTATACTTTTGAACTGTGTATTGATTAAAGTTCCCTAGAGGCCAAGAGAAAAGAGAAAAGAGGTTTTAATTCCTATTGAAATAAGGGTAGACATTTAAATAGCACCTACGTTTGTTTAAATTCTGTTCTGACCACATACTACATTAAGCTGTTTCTCAGGATCAGTGTGCTAACACTGAGCTTCACCAACCACTCTCTTTGCCTTCTCTCCTAATATATAACCATGATGTTTAAAATTTTTATTATTCTATGTTTAATGTTTTCCCTATTTAGCTCTCTTGATGATTTCACTTATTTATTTATTCATTTATTTTTGAGACAGGGTTTCACTATGTTGTCCAGGGTGGTCATATTAATCATACCCTTCAAGTGATCTTTCTGTCTTGGTATCCATGAGCTGGGGGTTGACCAGGAACAACCAGAATTCTGGAATAAAGTTTAATAATAAGTGATATAATTCAATAAGTGATATCTTTTCTGCAAAGATTAAGGAAGGGTCACATGACATGAAAATTGATGCTCAAAGTGTTAACACATATTGAATACTCACAATTCATGAGGTGAAGAACTGTTATCTCGTATCAGATAAGGAAATGGAGGCAAATGAGTGAATAGCATATCTACCTAGTCCTCTGAAAAAAAGAGGCATCAAGTAGTTTTAGTCTACACAAATATATCATTTATTCAATATTACTATAAAATACTTAAGCAGAAGTTACATTCCACCCAACACATTTTCCCACATAATTTTATTCTCATCAATATGAATGAGATTTTTACAGAAGTGAAGGTGTCGCCCACTCACTAAACGCTAAAAGATGGAATTATGCAAATGACTTTGTAGATATGAGAATGTATTTCTCTTTTCTATACATCTGTTGTGAAGATTTAATTTCTATTTTGTTTATGTATGTGTTTAGTGTATGGCCATGGCTATGTGAGTAGAGGCACCTGGAGTGTCCAGAGAGGCCGCTGCATCCCCTGAGGCTAAGGGTCCAGGTGGTTGTGAGCTGCCAGTGTGGGTGCTGGGAACAGAAGGCTGGTCCCCCACAGAAACAGCAAGGACTCAGCACCATGCCACTTCCCCAGCCCTGAATGACTGTATACTATACATGTTGACAACATGTTCTCTACCTTTAACATAACAGCTACATATAAGAGTGTCCAGAATACATAGCTTTGACTCATCTGGTTATAGTCTGTAATGTTATGTAGTACTTCAGTGGACTTCTCTGCTAATGACAGTCACAGCAGTAAGGAAGCAGAGGGTGTGCTGAGACGGATGCCAAATGCAAGCATCTGGTCATTCCCCAGGGCCCTGCCTGAATGGGCCACAGGAAATCAACGTCTTTATAGACATCATAAACCTGACTACAGATATTCTCACAACACTTTTATAGAGTAAAACACATAATGTAGCCAGGCTTGGTAACTCAGATCTGTAAGCTCAGTACTTTACGAGGCTGAAGTAGGAGGGTTGCTGGGAGTTCAAGGCCAGCCTGGGGTAGAGTCTCAAAATAATTATTTTTAATAAAGTAAAAATATTTTCTGGACTCTCTTGAAATTATCACTCAGTTGTTTGTCTCTTGTCAAACCATGAGAGATAACTTTATAACACAGGGGCCATTCCCTTAAGAGTTTTCATCCAACCATAAAGGAAAATAACACTGACCAATAATTTAAGTTTAAACTCAACTTAGTATTTGACTACGTTTAAATGTTTCTTTGCTTTATCTTATTGCAGGTCTGTCGAACCTGAGTTGAAATCACTTGCAATAGGTTTCCATTCACTGGTTATACGAACTCTAGGTATGGTAAGCGTATCAAATCGGGAAAATAAATATTCATGCCAAACTTAAAAGCTGACCGTAAATAAGTTTTGATTCTAAGGAAAGCTTAAAGATTTAAGATCATTTCTGTTCATGGTGAATAAAAGCAGTAGGATACAGAAGAAACTCAAGTGTCATGAAAGAGGATTTTATAGTTAACTGCAAAGTTGAGACTAGACTAAGGAATTGTCCCATCTCTACAGTAAGTTATGTCACAGAGATTGGCAGTTCCTTTTCATTGCAACGAAGTGTTTCTTTCAGGTAGGCAGAGTGAAGGGCCATCTCCAGACATAGCATTTCCAGGTAATGCCTTCTGTGAGTTGGGAGTGTTGGGAGAGTTTGGAACTTGGTAAATTTGAGTGTGCACAGAACAGACACTGAGGCTGACTGCCTGGTTTTGGAGGCTTTAAAAGCTTCAGCAGCTAAGCACGCAGAAGGGAAGAACTACACCCTGGAATACATCACCTTGGATGAAGAGAATCCTTAAATTGAAAGAAAACTCAAAAAATTGTGACTTTTATGTCAACATTAGATCCCCAAGTCCCAAGTTCCTAAGTATTGAAAGGGTGTAATTGATAAGGTTTAGGAAAGATCTATCTCTTCCCTCTCTCTCATTTTTTCAAGTTTTTATTTCCTGTACATTAAATTTACAAATGAAAACAAAGTCTAAAAATTTAAAATTTTCCTTTTTTAACAAAGTACAATAAAACATGAAAACCCCAAAGACAGAATACATGACACTTAAAATTCAAAATCAAATTAGCAGAATACTAAATATTTACAAAACAATATCTTTTTAAAATATTTATAAAGTTACGTGCAGTTTTGTAGAACTGCCAAAAAATATGTCTCAAAAATAGGAGAATTATCCTTCATTCCTAAAAGGAAAATATGCCCAATAGAAATCTGAAGGTTTCTGTCTTGGTAGCAACACTTTCTCTGTGTGTGCGTGAGAACTGACCTGTGTTGAGGGCAGCGCCGCTGCACCCTTGTGACAGGGCAGTGGCCTGGACCTGGCCTTGCTAGTGGTGCAGACATGCAGGCGCATGTGGTACAAGCCAGGTTGACCCACAAAAGGAGCGAGAAACCTAATGCGTTCCACACAGAAGCTTCTGTGCATGACAGGCAGGCTGCTGTCATCTCTGGAGATGAATGTGCCGCTGGTTTCCTAACACCCAATTGTCTATATGTTCAAGAAAATATTGTCCATACTGTGGGTGCTAGCTCCCATTCCTCGGTGTTCTTCAGCAGTTAGGATCACTTTCTTCTATAGGCCTTGCCCCTAATTGTCTTGTTTCACAGCTGCTCACATAGCCTTTGTAAGATTTATAAACATTAAATGGTTATATATAAGAAGATAGAAAACTTGAAATCACTCATGTAGGGATAGAGCAGAGAGCTCATCAGAAGCAAGTACTGATGCAAAGATTTTAAAGATCAGTAAAGGCGTTGTATGGGGTGTATCTCAGGGACCTTTGCAAGCAAAGGAACATAACCCTGGCTGAAAACAGTGGAGAAGAAATTGTTCATGACCAGTGTAGGTGAAACAACCTTGGATCCTCAAAGGAAAAATGAAGAGTTATAAGAAGCAGAAAGAGGGGGAGGCAAGAGGACAAAAAGAAGGAGGAGGAAGGCGTCTCTGGGATTCACTGTGTATCTCCAGGTTGGAGGCTTCTACACATACCAGGAGCTCCTTACCACCAAACCCAAATGAAACTCCACATTGCTGACTCTGCCTTTAAAACCAAAGCATTGTGTAGTCAGCGGCCCTCCTGATAGGCTAAGGAAAGACTCGAGGAATAAAAGAATTCCCTCTAACATCGTAAAACATAAAGAAAGGGGAATTTGCCATCATAGTTAGGAACTACGGCCTCATCAAACCTAAATGTTTCTGAAGAAAACATACACCAAGAAAACTTCTAGTTCCAAGAGCACTGTCTTCCGTACAGTATGACTGAGCATTGTGAAACACCTCTCAGGAAACCAAACTGAATAAGTGACTTGGAAAATAAGTCATTGAAAAAAAATAGTAAATTCTAGTAATAACCAGGTCCAAGTTTCTTAGCTAAAATGGTTTTTTTTATGTGTGTTTACACCAGTAATATCACTCAGAAAATACATATTATTAAGATGTTGATATATATATATATATATATATATATATAAACATATCAATATATATCAACCTTTCTCAAAGGATGGCCCCAATATTTTGAAACATGAACTTCTAACCCATTTCCTCAAACCGGTTTTTCTTTGGATACATTGGCCTCTGCTATCAGTCCATTGTTAACTACTGTCAGAAAACTGGAGTAGGAGCTGGAGTGACAGCTTGGTGGGTGACAGCATGTACTGCTCTTACAGAGGTCAGGGTTCAGTTCTTACTATCTTGACAAGGGGCTTGGAACTGCCTGGACTTGAATTCCAGTGGATTGATGTCCTCTTATGGCCTATGGCATTACACTCATAAGCATGAACAGATAATATACAAAAAAATAGTTAAAAATAAAACAAATTATAAAGAAGAAAACATACTGATTTTTTAAGATGAAATCAGTAAAATCATTTTCTTGCATAACAACATTTGAGATTTGTTCATAAGAAATAGAACCAAATATCTCAGAATGAGACTCTACAAACACGTCCCTCCAATCTGGGGCCAGTTTAAGAACTGAGCCAATCTCAGAGTTGATAAGAACAACAGTGAGAAACAGTTGCTTCTCTACACTACCCAGGAACTCTGGAGAAACCATGTACTGTACGTTGCACACTACAATAAAACCAGGTTAGGCCAACTACTGAAGTCATATAATTAGAAGACACAGAAACAAAATTTACCAACAAGGTCTCTAAGTTGAACTTCTCAGGACATTTCAAAAGATATTTAAACATGTACAAAATCAGTGGAAAGAAAATGCTGGTCATGGAGTCAGCCGACACCAAAATGAGGAGCTGGTCTCAACCTAGAAGCCAAAATTCCGTGGCAGAGATGATGGTCCATGAGGCTGGTCCTCCACTTCTCTGGGAAAGAGTCCTCATGTGAGAATTAATTCCCTTTTTAGATTTCTTTTTCACCTTTGAACATTTTTATTTTATATGCTTGTTTGTTTATTTAGATAGTAACTAAACTTTATGTGTAAATGAAAGTTTATGTGTAAACTTTTATTTATGTGTAAGTGTGCATGCATACTTTTCTGTATATGTAACACCTACACACAGTGCCCATGGGGTCCTGAAGAAAGAATCAGATTACCCAGAACTAGAATTACAGGCAGTGGACTTCATGAAGTAGACGTTTGGGCACCATACTCTGAGGCTTTCAAGAGCAGCAAGCACCCTAAATACTGACCCATCTCTCTAGCCTGCATTTTCAGTTTTCTTAGAAGAGCTGAACAATCTCCTGGCTCTTATAGGATTGTGACAAGTGCTTTTCACGCTAGCCATAAGACTGCAGTTCTACTCCAATATTTCCAGATCTTTTTGGGAAGAAAAAAAAAGACAAATGGCCATGTTTAACTAATAACAACCTTCTTTTCACTAAATAGGCTTTAGCTAATTTGTATTGTAAGAACATAGTTTACGGGCATGTAGAATTCCTTCTTCATTATGTGTGTTTGACAGATAGGTATAGACAAAAGATGTTTATAATATTACTCTATAGTATGATCTTTGCAGAAATCTTTTAGCATAAATTCTTGCATATATCCAAGCAGAAACAAGGACATTATACTAGTAAGTTTTCAACTTTTCATTCTTCACAGGGTATCCCTGTGATATATCACCTAAGTATATTTGAAATATTTGTCTTGGGTTGATAGCTTTTTCTCCCATGCTGTAGGAGGAATTCTAGTTCCAATCTATTATGGAGCATTAATTGACAGAGCATGTATGAGGTGGTCCGTCACCAGATGTGGAACACGTGGGGCTTGCAGGGCGTATAACTCCACACTATTCGGGTGAGTTGTTATGAATAGATTTCATTAGTAGATTTTATCTTTGACTATGCTGATATCAAAATAGTATTTTTTTTTATACTTTTTAAAAATGTGTCTGAATGTTTTTATCTCTATGTATATGTGTGCACAACATGTGTGTAGTCCTGTATTGGACACATGGAATTGGATTATCTAGAACTGGAATCACAGATGATGGCCAATTGAGGGTTTGACTATAAAGTAGGAAAGAAGGAAAGTTTATGTTCTGTTCATGAGAAGAGAAGATAACTGAATAATAATTTGAAATAAATGGAAATGATATTCTTTAGAAAACAATAATTGTAAATTTAAATATTGATTAATTATAAAACAAATATTACTCAAAGTGGATTTTAAAAAAACCTATTTGGGAAGTGTGTGTATGTTTTCATCATGACCTAAGCCTTCAAAGCTGTAACAAAAAATATTAAAATATTTTTAAAACTCTACATAAGAAAAATCAGAGCTGGTTACAGTGGCACATACCTTTGATCTCAGTACTCGAGGAGGTAGAGACAGGCAGATCTCTGTGAGTTCAAGGCCAGCCTGGTCTACAAAGCAAGTCCAGGACAGCCAAGGCTACACAGAAAAACCCTGTCTTAAAAAACCTAATATAATATAATATAATATAATATAATATAATATAATATAATATAATATAATATAATAATTATTATATATTTTAAGCCATATCTAAAGGCAAAATACAAATTGTAAAATTAACTGGCACTAATGACATAGTCACAAGGAAGTTTTGTAGCTCTACTGAGCTCCCCAAATTGTAAAATACAAGTGAACACTGCAAGAAGGCTGAAGAACAGAAACTGCCTTCCAGTGCTGATGGCCATGGAATGATGTCTGTGGAGAACAGTCCTCCTCTTCTTATTCTAGGTTGTAAGACACTGTCAGGCTGTCTTCCAAATCATCTTACCACCAACCACAAATAAGAGTTGTGGTGGTGGTGGTGGCGTTGGCATCATGATGATATTTGTGTCATGATGGTGTTGGTTCCTCAGTGTAGTTGGTGTTACGGTGGGTGGTAAGATGTTGTTAGTATCATGACCCCATTCTGGTAATCTTTATTCCCTGATATATCCATGACTGGGATTAAAGACTGTCCATTCTCTTCAAATCCCCCATGGTTATTGTTTCCTTTGCTTTTTGTGTGACTTCTAGTTTGTCTTTTCTTGAGGCATAAATATTATGGCAAAGGGACTACTATAAGTAATCATTTTGGTATAAGGCATGGGAGGGACGGTAGCTTTTCATAGTCTTACTTTAAATTTCAATCTCAGTGGACCTAGATATATGGACTGTGAACTCTAGATGTATTTCTTTGTGCATTCTTTTTTTTATTGCATGGAATTGGATGGCTTGGGCGAAAAGATCTGAATATTCTGCTCTTCCATCAGAAAGTTGGAGTCAGTGAGAGTTTAGTCTCTATGTCTTGACAATTCTTTAGAAATAATCTCAAACTCTTACAGCCCAATAGATAAAGTTACTGAAATGTTTTTTTTTAAATTTTATGTTTTGGTACATAATCTTAATTTTTTTTTTTACTTTAAGGTCTGCATATCAGACATAAATACTATAATCTATATCACATAATATAAAATAATATTTGTCCCTTCTTTTCTCTAGAAACATCTACGTGGGATTGAACACAGCTTTAAACACTGGAACACTTATTTTATATGTTGTATTACTTTATTTCATGAAGAAAAAATATAAAGAAAAGGATAGCAAGACATTGGAAAATAGTGGAAAATCCATAGATGAAGGAAACCCAGAATCTATAAATAAAAATGGATACTATTGTGTGCCTTCAGATGGACCAAACAATGAAACACCTCTTTAAGAGAAGAAACAGATAGATCTATTGCTTTGTTTTCAGACAACTCCTTAGTTCTTTCATTGAAGATTTTTACAGTATACATATGAAGGAGGATGTAAAATCCTACGGATTTATATGGAAACAAACCAAAAATAAAAAGAAATGAAAGCATCTTTGTCAATGTATAACTGTGCATTTGAAGCTGGGATTGAAATCCATGATCTGTAAAAATTTTTAGAGTGGAAGTTGGCTAGTTTATAAAAGATAAACAATGATTAAGTATTTACTTAATAATTTATAATTCAATAAAATAAATAAAATGCTAGGATGGAAAAAGGGCAATGGATGGTGATAAGTTGGTTGCCTATGTAGGGAGAAATATCTAATGTCTTTAAAAATCAAAGTTTAAATGGTTCTATTTATGCCTGAAGTCTCTGTGATAGAGGACTTCATGACATAACATCCTCAGGTATCCATGTGAAGTGATACATTCTATAGAATTATTAATTTGAAATTGTATGTAATAACCCATGCATCTTCTTTGTAATACTATACAAAATGTTGAGAATAAAACAGAGACATTTAGGAAAATTACAAGCTATGTTTGTCAGAAAAAATACCTTAGAATGCATTTTTAATAGCTGTGGTAACAGATTGAAAAAAATCCATATTGACTGAAGAAAGCAAAGACCATTTAATAAATGAGCTTTCACTCCATCTGTTAGTTCCCTAAAGCAAGTGTTTGCCAGACAAGCTGTAAAAGGAATCAGCATTTACCATAACAAGTGTTTCGTTTGTCTTTTCTTAAAATTTTGAATGTGATATATATAATCAAATATATTATATATTTAGGTATAATCAAATATATCTAAAATCAGTATAAGAAGTAGAATTAATGAGACAAAAGAAACTTTGGTTAATGTATTATCTATTGGGATTGGATTTATTATAGTGGATTGTATAGATTGTACTTGCTTTATTGTCATATGTTAAAACATTTTGTTTGCATTGAAATAACCTATTGCATTGCTTTTCTGTTGCTGTGATAAAATATCCTGACAAAAAAGTGCTCAAAGGACAAAATGATTTATTTTGACTTACAGTTCTAGCTATACATACAAGGTCCATCCTGGTGGGAATGGCGTGGCAACAGGCACAGAAGGTACAGTGGCAGGAGCAGGAAAATAGCCATTTCATGTTTTTTTTCCACATACAAGAGGAAGCAGAAACAGAGTGAACAGGAAATGGAGCCAGACTATAAAACTTCAAAGCTCTCCCCCAGTGATATGTTTTCTCTAGTAAGTCTCCACCTCCTAAAAGTTCCATAAAATTCCAGCACAATGCCCATAACTGTGTCCAAATACATGAGGTAGAAAGAGTAATTTTTATTCAAACTGTCACATCCACATACATAAACACTTACACTCATAATTTATATACATATGTGTGTATGTGTGCAAAACTACAGTCATGCTCCAGAGATTCTGATTCAAAACATATTTGGGAGAATCTCAATTAAGTCCTTCAGGAAACAATCCCTCCTGTCATAAGAGTTTTTACCACGAGATAATATAGCAAAATAATGCAGTGTGAATCTTGCCAGTAGCCGGGAACTGATCAGGAGGTTACACATTGTAACCTGCCCTTCCACTGTGGAACCGAGAAAAGATTTATTAATCACACAGACAGAGAAATCTGGGGAAACATCACAGGCTAGGTCAGTGAGAATCATTCTTTTCCAGGAAAATAAATTATTATTTTCAAGCTCAAGAATTTTAATAGAATTTAAGAGAAAAAAATATCTCATGGCAGTTGAACTATAAAATTCAGTGGCTGCCTGAAGCAGGGTGATGGAGAAGAGAAAGAAAAACATGATGTTTCTAAGTGGCTACATGCGGGTCAGGGAGAAGAGATGTTGGGTGGCTTCCGAGTCAAAGGATAAAGTAGCCCACCACGTCCTGGAAGTCACATCAGGGTTACCCTAGTTGCTTTTCTGCAGCTGTGATAAACACTGACCAAAAGCAACTTGAGGAAGAAACAGTTTATTTCCACTCACAAGCTGTAGACCATCATTGAGGAAAGTCAGGGCAGGAACTCCAGGCAGGAACCTGGAGGCAGAAACTAGAACAGAGCCCATGAAGAAAAATAATTGAATTGATCTCCATGGCTTGCTCAGTCTGTTCTCTGCCCACATGGAGCAAAACTTACAATGGACTTGACCCTCCGCATCAATCAAAAGAATACACTACAGACTTGTCTATAGTCCAATCTCATGGGGTCATTTTCTCAATTAAGATTTTGTCTTCCAGATAAATCTAGCTTGTGTCAAAATAACAAAACACTAACCAGGAAACAATGGTTATTAGACCTTCACCTGAGTTTCCATCTGTCCCTCCTACCCACCACAGTGTGTGCACTTCTTCTCCAGTTTCATATGGTCTAGTGAAACCACTGCTGGAGTATCTAGAGGGTGTAATGTTAACTAAATCAGAGACTCCATCTACGAAGCTGTAGGAAGTTATCAATCTAGCCTGACTGAAACTTTCAGGTGATGTGGCTCTTTTGAAGTACCTCATCTCCCATTTATCCTTCTCCCATGCTCCTATAAGAAAGCCCACTAAGCTCTCTGGTTTGCCAAGACAGACAGTGAAATTGTTTCTAGCCTGTCACTGGTGCCCAATAAAGGGTAAAGAGACATTTGTCCATAATTCCTCAGGAAAAGTTTCCCACATGTAATGTCTGTGGAGATTCCCATAGCAGATGACATGACAGGGGTGTGGTTAAGTGTGGAAGATATCACATGATGAGGCAGAGTGTTAAAGTAAACCATGAGCCCGGGCTTGCTGTTTTTCTAAAAAAATCCCACTCTACCTGGAAATAACTAGATTTTCCAAAAAGAAGCAGCAACCCCAGTGACCTAATTACCTTGATGAATCCCCACTTTTCAACATCACAACCCTGTAAATCAAGCTACCAACACATGCCACCCAGCCAGATAATATCCATCCAAATATAGCCCTTCCCAACTAGGCAATACTCAAATCTTCATATCTATCCAACTCTCTTGAGATGTGAATTAGTTATCTGCCTGATAATCTCGGTTCATTGTTAGGTCAAACATGGTTATAATTTGCATTTTACCCATCTATTTTTCTATTGTAGTATATGGTTGAGACATTCTGACTGTAACCAGAAGTCTCTTTTACTCTGCCATTAATTTTATGAATTTTGAAGATTGATTTGAAGTACTTAAGAATAAGCTATGATGGCAACCCAACCCCTCCATTTTATGTTAGTTATTCATCTTCTTATCCATTAGCCATTTGTCTCTGACTCCAGTCTGGAAGATAAATTTCCAGTAACCCTGACTCAGTAATCCCCTCCACCCAGAAATGTATTGCCATGTCCATTTACTTGTTATAACTAATGACTTTTTGGATTCTGAAACCTGCTTATGCAGACACATATTGCCTTGACTACCTAATCTTGGCGGAGAAAAAGAGTGCTTAGTTTTCTTGTACAGATGCTAAAGGTCTTCTTGTGATTTTCACCTTTAAAAATCTTCCCCTCATCCCCTTTTCACAGAACTCTCAAGTGTGATTTAGAGACTGTTGTCCTGTTGGCAGTAATCAATAAATCAATTAATTATAGTTGGATTGAGTAAATAAATCAATTTAATTATAATTAAATCAATTAATTATAGTTGGATTGAGTCTATGATCTTTTCCAGGGGTCAAAAACTCCATAACATTTAGAGACCCCCCCTTACTAGATTTTTGGTATAACCTCAGACTCAGGACTGGGTGTCTTGATATGAACTGGTAGACTTGGAAGTTCAGAGAGCCCAAGACCACACTGCCACAAATTGAAGGTCACGAACAAAAGGTAGACACCAGAAGAAGGAAACCGAATGCATACTTGATAGACCCGGGGAAACCCAGGCTGCACCATCCCAAATTTGCAAGTTGAAAGCAAAACTAAAGTAAGCATTGCTGGACAATGTGCTTCTGCAGGTCAGATAGAGTGGTGAGTTGTTCTGTTCTGTTTTGGAGTCTGGACATTTGGAGAAAGAAAAGAGAGATCTGACAAAATCATAGACTCAGTCTCCCAGGCAGTAATGTGGCCATCAAATGTCTGAGTTCTACTGGTCTTTTCTGATTGTTTTATTGTACTGTCTTTTCCCATCATTTTTTTATTGTCTGTTGGATTTGTGTTTTCAAGTGTTGTTGCAGTGATGGGAGTCAGACTGAGCACAACCAAATCATCCATGATGTGCATGCAAAAGCATTTTATGAGTTTCTACAGGCAGACTGTTCCTGGCTGCCACTATGCTAGCTCCTGACTGGGACTCGCTTTGTCCCTCTCACTGCCTCACTGCAGCCTGCTGATTAAGTTTCACCTGTACCTCAGGCACTTCTTGAAGTCCTCCTGTTTGCAATCCTCTTCCCACCCTCTGCTTGCTCTATCTCCCAGCTGGTTTCCGTCATTGACTATGGAGCTCTGACTGTTGATACCCCCATCCCACCCCTGCATGCCAGGTAGTAGACATCCTTAGTACACAGCCCTCAGGAGCACCATAACTTTGTGATCTTACTTCTGCTACCAAGCTAGCCCACATCCAGAATTTCTTATCCCCAAGCCTTCAATGTTCTTTGCTTGTTCTGGTCTCTCTCTCTCTCTCTCTCTGTTCACTGGATTCAGTTTTTCAGGGATTCAGGTGTCTTTGGGTGTGGATAATACTGAAGTATTGTTTTATGCTGTTTACTTCATTAAAAAACTGGTTCTGGAGTTGGGTTATGGCTTTCTTCTCTGACTCAAGCATGCTTCTTTAAAAGTTTCTTCCAAGTGGATTCCCTAGTAAGGGGAACAGGGGCTGTTTCCAACATGAACTCAGTGGCTCGCTCTTGGATCACCTCCCCGTGATGCGGGGGGGGGGAGGAGGGTGGGCAGCCTTACCAGGCCACAGAGGAAGACAATGCAGACAGTCCTGAAGAGACCTGATAGGCTAGGGTCAGAGGGAAGGAGAGGAGGACCTCACCTATCAGTGGACTAGGAGAGGGAAATGGGAGGAGAAGAGGGAAGGAGGGCAAGATTGGGAGGGGATGACAGAGGGGCTACAGCTGACATACAAAGTGAATAAATTGTAATAAATCTAAAAAAAAATTAAATGTTTCCTTCAAAATTCTGTCCTAGTCAGAAATCCATCTGACCCTATGACAAAGAGAAAAAAACAAAACAACACAAAAATAACAGCCCAAGGAAAAATGTAGCATGTGCTTTAAAACAGCAAAAGTACATACTTTCTGTACCTTAACATTTGTAAGCTTATTGAATATGGTTAAAATGTATTAAAAAGTAAACAACTTGATGCCAATGTTTCCTCAGTTCTTGTAGATGTCTGCTTTTTATAGTTTTGTGTTTAATTCCCTTTAGGTTACAGATATTTATTTATTCTGCAACTTGATATGTTTATAAAAATAGTTATTAAGCTTTTAAGATTGTCTGCCTTCACATAGAAGTTGGTTATAAAATAAAACCTTCTGTCTAAAGTCTCTCAGTAAAACTACAGTTGTGCCTGGAGTTAAAATTATCAGAGTTGGACTTGTTAAAAGTTATATCATTCCAAATGAGATAGTCAAGGTCATTGGACTTTCATCTATGAATCCAATTACTCCTCTAAGGTCTTTGCATGCCATTAGTCCCTAATGGCATGATGCTTCAAGGTTTTCTAGAGAAGGTAGGGTATAAAAGCTAAAAACTAAGAATAAAAAGGGGGTTAATTTACACAACAATGCAAAAGATGATGTCATTGCTTTTAATAGTTGAGTAATATTCCATTTTGTTAATGTACCATATTGTCTTTATTCATTCTTTGATTGAGAGATAGCTTGGTTGTTTCCAGTATCTGTAGGATTAACATAGTAAAAATGGCCATTTTACCAAAAGCAATCTATAGCTTCAATACAATTCCCATCAAAATTCCAACACAATTTTTTACAGACCTTGAAAGAGCAATCCTCAACTTCATATGGAAAAACAAAAACAAAACAAAAAAGACAAATAACAACA